TATCGATGTTCCCGGCGGCCGGGATTGAGCCCACGACCCTCGAGTCCCCTATCCTAACGCCTAACCAATCTAGCCACCTACCGAGATGTAATTCTGGGTCAAATGTATGACTCTTAAGACGCGTCGCCATGCTCGCGATAGGCGAACACCGTTTGGACGGCCGGCAAAGGGCGTTTGAGCGGGCGATCCGACCGCGTCTGTGAGCGGACGACCGGCTCCGCCGCCCTCGGACGTATAAAACGCGGGATTTGCGAAAAAAATCGAACCGACGCATGTATTTATAGCTCTCGGAGCGTCGCTGGGGGACACCCCCAGACCACCGGGTGTGGGTCATGAGTGTTTTCGATTTCGGAAGCAGCGGTGGTCTCGTGGTGCGGTCGTGGGTCTCAGCCGACACGGTGTATGGGTGATGAGGAGGTATGGTGATAAGAGTAGATAGGTTATGTAGCTATGAGCGCAGTCGGTTTTTTTTACAATCAAAAAATCACCTTAAAATTAGCTTATTTCAACATTTTTACATCAAATTTTGATTTTTTTACATCGAATTTTGAGTGCTTTTTTGTATACAATTTATATACAAATACAATGATATTTCACATATTTTGTATAAAATTTTAATTATTGTGGTCGGAAAAACAGACCACGATTTTATTGTCACAAAATCACTTAAATTTCAGTTTTAAATGAATCTGAATATCGTGACCCGAAAAACCGGTCACGATCAAAAATTGATTTTAGATATCAAAAATGTAAATTCTAATAAATTCTCAGTTATTAAAATTATTTTAACATTCACCCCATACGGGTGAGTGTTAGATCCTTTGTAAAAATAGGATTATTTTAATTTTTAATAAAGACGTATAGTTTATATAATTATTAGCACGATTTAAAAATTATTATATAACTAAAAATTTTCGTATATAAATAAATATAAAAAATGAATCGAACTAATAAAATTATCCATCTTTATGAGATGATAAATAACGATGAGGTATTATTGCAGTCTTTGAAAACAGGAGAGGTATATTTAGGTTCAAAATGTCAACATTTCAAGAGTGTTAATGAATTTAGTAAAAACCAAAAATGGTGTAAAAGTTGTATGAAAATCAAAGTTAGCACTGAATTGGTAGCATGTGAATGTGGTCAAGTAATGCATTTAAGAGGCATTTGTTAACTAAATCTCACTCAAAAAGGATGGATATTATGAGTAAAGAGAACATTCCTCAAGAATAATTTTTGTTATTAAAAAACAAAAATTTCTATTTAAAAAATAAAAATAATAAATTCTATTTTAAAAAATAACTTCGTCAATAAACTATATTAATAAATGGATAATCAGGTTTCAATAAGATTTATAAAAACTGAGGAAAAAAATAAAGACATAGATGTTTCAAAATGGTTTAAGTTTTTTCAAGCACATAATAAATATTTAAATAAAAGTGATAAACAGATAAAACATTTTTTAAGAAACTATACATTTTGCATACAATATGGAAAGAAAATTGCTACTCAGAATTTGGAAGGATTGTATAGTATTTTAATTGGAAAAATAAAGCATTCATCATATAATGACAGTAGATTAGAGATTATTTTTAAATTAACTGACGAAGAAAAAAATTATTGGTTAACTGGATTTCCATTTGAATTTCATGAAGATATAATAGAGCAACCCAGTAAGGAACAATCTATTTATAAGTTAAAGTTTATATCTATTTATTCGTTTATTGTGAGAGGATGTAATGAAGACCGCTAGAGTGCGCCACATAAATGGGCACTCCGTTTTGTCTCATTACATTGCATATATATTTGTTATATCTTTGTTTAGTGTTTTACCAGTAATATTACTTTCTTCAATACACTGCCATGATTTGAATCTAAATGTATATTCATTTCTCTTGGACAATGAAACTAAATCATTTATCAATTTAAATTTATACGCATCTTTATAAGTCACAATTGGTATGCTTATAAGTAATTCTTCAATAACAACTTTTCCAGCTCCAGGCACCACTTTCTAATGGGATTACGTAATATCATGTATTTGCTCATAAAAACAACCAGGAATGCGACCACACCCAAAAGTGTTTTCGACTAAGAATACCACTTTCATAGTCGTGAGGTCCATATTAAGGACGACTGTACACGCGCCGCTCACTTCAAAGGACGCCGCCACCATATATATAGGGGACAGCGAGACAGCCAAAGTAGATGTCATCGAATATATCGGTTTACGTCGCACCGTAGACGCACGGCTTAAGAGTTGATGTTTTGCCTATGTTTCATATCTCAATCTGTGTCCGAGTAGGTTAGGCGTTAGGTAGGAAACACTAGGTCCCGGGTTCGAATCCGTGGTACGCTCTCCGGGCGTCGAAAATGTAATTCCCATATGGTTTACACGGCCGCCCGGATCCCTATTTTTTTGCATTTTTTTTTCACTATATTTTTCGTATAAATTAAATAATAATATAATAATAATACAGGAACATTATTATTATTTAAAGTCATTGCCATATTATATCACACAATAAATAGGTACATATTATATTTGTTTTATTAGGAATTATTAAAATTGCATATTTTTTCAAAATGTCCATGATTGTTATACAAATATAGTTTGTATTTTATTTCGGATTGCCTACCTAGGTGGCTAATTTGAAAGTTAATCTTGATTTTGACTTGGCATAACTGACTTGCTAGACAATCCAACACGGTTTTCGACTTTACACTTTTTACATAAGAAAAGGCACCGGACATGCGAAGGCACATACCACTAGATGTGATATACCTACTATATATAGGTGATAGACGGATTGCTCATTTTAGTTTCGTCTTAAACGGTGATGATTGACTTGATAGACACTTTAACATGCAGGTTTTTGAATTTTTTTTTAAATTAATATATATACACTATAGTTACATGTTTATATGTACCTATTGTATTGGTTAATATAATAGCATGTATCTAACTATCTACCTTTATGTTAATTTTTTTTTAGGAATTATAATTGCACATTTCTTAAAATGTTCATTGTTATATTATATCACACAATAAAATATACATATCATATTTGTTTGTATGTATATTGTAAATAGTTTGAATTTTTCGTAAATTATTTCGTAAGTTGTGTGATAGGGTTTTTACTTATAGCCGCTTGATGTCGGGTCCGCAATCCACCGCAGGTGGATTGCCTACCTGATTTGCTGTAGCACATTGTCCGCGATCCGACGAAGTCGGGTTGCCTACCTAAGTGGCTAACTTGAAAGTTAATAGATTTTGACTTGAGATGACTGACTTGCTAGAAACCCCAACACGGTTTTCGACTTTACACTTTTTACATAAGATAAAGCACCGGTCATGCTACGGCACATACCACTATATGTGCATGTATCCAGCCTATCCATTTACAACGTTTGTGACGGATTGCTAGACGCTCAAACTCTTAACATTCCCGCCAAAACGTCTAGCCTTATCTCCAATCCATAACACTAATCCTTATCACAAATCCTAAACTTTTGTCTTACAACCTTTGCGACTTTTATAATTCATTGTCTCCAAAATCGGTACCTACTCCCAGCGAGTCCAACGGTCCCCGAGTTACACTTAGAGCTAGTAATATAATAAAATGATAATATAAATAACATGGTATGACAGCAACTGCTTACTGCGCATGACGACTAAGTCATCCGGTCTGCGAAATTTGAAAACGTGTCATGGTCGGCTCATTTAACTAGCGCCTCTTATCAGCACTATCACAGTATTATCATTTATAATTTTATCAACTATTTAACCATGATGAAGAAAATTTCTTTCAAAACTTTTTGTGCCTTAGTGTCTTGTGCATAGAATCATAGAACAAAAATTTAATTAGTATGGGTAGGTTTTTATATTTTTCTTATCATTTGTGTACAATATAAAATATATACTAATAATATATTATATTGTTTTGTTTTGTTTTTTAGATATCAGCAGTAGTGTGAGTGTATGTACATTTGACATTTTATTTTTTTTTCTATAACATGTCAATTTTTGTAATGTAATGATTTTATGAATTTTAAAATTTGAATTGGTTTTTATGTTTACCTATAAGTTATTTTAGTGTAATTTAACTAAACTATGTTTTTTTATTATCCTTTATTTATATGTAAATTGTAATTTCTATAACAAATGAATTTTAAAAATTGAAATTTGAATCGTTTTTTATGTTTACCTTTGTTCTTTTATTTATGATAATTTTTTGAAATTGTTATGTGAATGTTTTTAATAAAATTATATGCACATGTTAACTTATATGGTTTTTTATGTTTACTTATAATAATATGTTAAATGTTTGTACTACTAACATAAAATAGCTATGGGTCACAATGACATGAAAAAAAAGGTAAGTACAATACATACTGAAATGTGTTGTTAAAATGATAGTTGGAATTGTTAATTATAATTACTGTACTGTTCTTGTAGCAGTGACAATTATCTTGTCAGCATGCTAATATTTTTTACAGGTGAAATTGTTAAAATGATAAATAATTCTATAAATTGATAATTTATATGATAGATTTAAAAACTTTATTATCAATCTGAAAATATGAATTGTCGAGTTACGTTAAATATTCTTGTAGAAATAACAATTATATTGATCTTTATTTGACCATGTGTCTTATTAACACAACAATTATTATGCTAATTTATAAAAAAAATATTTTTTTAAAATATGTATTTCATTAATAAAATACAATAGTTATAATTTCTTTGATTTTTAATGAAACACATCTTCTTCTATATTCATTTCACAGTCATTTTTTGATGTATAGAACACATACTTCATAAACACAAATTAAAACTAGTTGAAATAAATAAATAAGAACAAATATTAGTTAATTGAAACAAAAACTTTTATTCTTTTTTAAGTATTTTAATATTATACATAAGTAATGACAATTTTAATTATTATAACTTTAAATAATAGTCGCAGTATAAAATTTATGAAAAACAAAAAAAATTATTATTTAAGTTCTGATAATATTATTTGTGCCAGCTTAGGATGTGGTTGATCAAATTTTGATCTCAGTCCAAAAAACAGATTTTGGATAAATAACCACACAATGTAAGACTGTGTTGGATACCCCAAGTTGAAAACATGAAATATCTTGTAGCATACTTCTACCGATCTTAAAACTGAATGCACTTTGTATATTATAGTATCAAAATAAACCAAAATTTCTCTCTGTTCAAATATAGAGCCAACAATAAAAACAAATGGCTGAATTGGGTTGCCTTGGAACCTAAGACTTTGAAAATGGTTCTGCATGGCCTCTACTGATTCGCCAAAAACTATGAGACTATCCTGGGAGTCTTTAATTGAATATTTTATAAGATTTTTCTTTCCATTTTCATCTTTAGTGATTTTTTTGGAAGTCGGTGCAAATACAGCATGTAACAAATATATTAAAGCTGCGTTTTTTGAATCTGTTAAATATTTAAAAAAAAATTATATTAATATAGATGTATTTGTTGGGCAAGCTAGTATATTAACCAAGCACACATTTGCTGGTAAAAATATAAGTGCCTATTAGTGGTTTTAGAAGCCCTACTCACACGCAAACAAAAAATAATAAATATATAATACCTGCTATTAATAATTAACTTTTTAATTACTAAATATAATATTATATATCCAAGACATACATGATTTAGGTATATACTATGCTATAAAAGCATTAAACATCTGATAATAATAATATATAATTAAATCATATTATAGAAAGTGACACAGTTTTTTTTTTTAAATTATTACCCATTAATTAGTTTTTTGATTTATTAAATTAAGTAAAAATATATGATACACACAAGATTTGCCAGTGATAAAAGTTGGGATTCAATTATGTATTTTAAACATACAAATATTATTGACTATGTGCATAAATAAAAAAAATCAAGAAAAAATCATAAAAATATCTTACTTTCGCTAATATTTTCATCACCACTTTGTATTTTGTCTAATATTTTGCGACAGTTTGTATCCTTAATTTTTTCCAATAATAAATTGAATATTTTTGGAGACTTCTCTTCAAAGTTCTTGTATATAGTGTCTCCATTAGGAAATAATGCTTGATAATCTATATCAATCTGAAACAACATAGTATATTTAGACATAAGAAAGTAAAAAAATAATTATTTCAATTAATTACTAGTTTATGGCCATAAGGAATTGAATATTGTTTCCAATTGTTTAATATATTCGCTGTTGACTCTGAATTTTTAATGTAATTAAGTCGGTAGTTTACACTAGCTTTCCAGTTTTTTTCAATATCTGGAAATGGACTGTTGTCATGTTTCAATTCATCCAATATATAATCTATTTCAATTTCTGATACTGAAAATAATATAGACATTATAATATATTATATTATGTATATTTTAATTTAAAAATTAAATATTTTACCAAATTTCCTCTCAGTCCAACTCTCTTTCTCTTGATTTCTGCTGCCCGTTTTATTTTTTTCTGATTTAGTTGTAGTATGAACTAACCCAGTATTTTTCAGATTTCTCATTGAGTTATAATACTTGGCATACAATTTGCCTTTTGGGTTTTTATTGCATCCAATTTTCATGAAATAGGTATCCTGTAGATTTTAATTTTGGTAATGATTATTATTATGATAGCAATAAATAACAAATTAAATTACCTTAATTTCAGAATTAAACATTGCCACTATTTGATCTGCCATAGATTCAGCCAAGCTCACAGACATTGGTATGCGCTGTGATAGTACTTGCCCAATAAGTATGTCGACCAATGTTGATCTAATACCATCATTTAGCTTATTATTCTGTCTATAATAGTCCAATATTAAAGAACCTTGTGTTGATGAATTTAGAATTACATCAACTTTTAATTCTTGGCTTGATTTAAACGATTTAAGGTAAGGTTCTAAATTTGGTTTGTTCATTGATGTTTCAGCAGACTCTGTTATTTTATTTATATCAACAATATTTAAACTGCTTTTCCATTGGTCTAGTTCACATTCAAATTTTACTAGGATGCCTAATGGATATGTTGATAATAATTTATCAACATGTCTAGTTTTTAAAAGCCGAAGAATTTTCATATCAATTAGTTGATCTATACAAAAAAAATATATTTATAAGGTAATGAGTGATTAAGTGTACCCTCCTTTTGTGGTATATGTATCTTACCAATACAAGTTTGATATACACATGTTAATCCCCAATCTTCTAATACTTTCTTCAGTATTGGTAAATCTTCAGCTGGGTAATGCAATTCTGACATCTGAGTGGAACTGTTTTGAAGATATATTTCAGGTTTCATAATTTCTACTGCTTCGGCGGGTGGCTAAGGTTTTAATAATACAAATGAACATTGGTATTACAGAGTATAAGTAACACGATAAATAAAAAAAGGCATCATTTTTAAAAGGTAATTTATTAAAAAAAATGACAGTACTTACAGTACTGGAAGCTACTTGAAGCATATGTAAAAATGAGTCACTTATATGTGGTGTGTATTCCATTTTCTTACAAGTTACAACTTATAAATACTGTAATACATTTAAAAAATATATATATATTTAATAATATAATTTAATAATATTTATACATATCAAATAGTGTAACATAACTTTAAATAATTGACAATTTATTAAGTTAGTTGAATTCTTTCAAACGTATCATTTTTTGACCTGAAGAAACTGTTGTTACATTTATTGGAGGCCCACTAAATTCATTTATTTTAAAAATAAAACAACCATTCGATTCTTCCTCACTATTACTAACAATAAACGATTCAAGATGTGAACTAAATTAATTTAACAAAATTTTTTTGGTTAAAATATAGACAATATTGTCTGGATTATTATTTATTGATATAAGTTCAAATATTTTAAATAAGCTCATTTCATCACAATGCTTTGTTAAATAATATCCAACCTTGTATAAAATTCCATCAAATCTCAATTCAGTATAACATGTATATTGTAATGAAGTTATATTGAGCATATTGTTAATAATATCAGTATATTTTGTTAGAACCTTATGTTTATCTTTGAAAATAATTTTTTTATCTAAGTCTTTCATTAAGTTATAAGCAAATTTAAACTGGTACTTTTTTGCTAATGTCAAGGTAATATTTTTTCTAGAAGTGGTTGATCTTGCATACATCTTTAATTCTCTGTGTTTACCTTCAAAACGAAAGCACCAGTAATGCCTAGGAGGACCAGAGTTTTGAATTATTGTTGGATAATGGACTAAAAAATGATGTTTTGGTTTTAAATTATCATTGAAAAGAGTTAAGTACAACAAATTGTGTTGGGAAATTAATTGTTTCAGATATAATATTGCGTTCTCAGTAAACGTGTATGATAACAGAATATCTGTAATTTTAAGTAATAACAGAAAGAGTTCCCAAACTTCATCAGATTCAAGTATTAAATCTCCTATTATCAAAGGAAAAAAGTGCATGAAAGTCATGACTTCCCTGGCTGACATTTTTAAATGTTTTTTTTCAAATGAAGAGCTGTTATAGGAGGTGAAATATTACATATCTGCCCATAATTAAAATTCATTTTTCTACTATTCAATGTTTCTAAAGAAAATAGTTTTGCAGTATCAATATAATATCTTATAATATGACATAAATCATAGTGGCAAACCCCTTCAAATAAATCATGCATTATATCAATACAATAGTTTTCAGTTAAGTACATGAAAACTAGTTATTTGATTTAAAAACGAATCTTTATAAATACCAGTTTCAGCAAAATTCATAGTAACAACATCTTCAGAATAATTTTGAACTATCTATGTTTTCTTCACGCATAACTCTAGTATCAGCCTTATTTGATTTACAGAAGCGACAGAAAAAAATTGCTGAAAATGATTTACTAAACTCCAATAAACTATTAAGCCCCAAATTATCTCCTAATATTATACCCAAAATAAAGTAGACATGAAAAATACCCTCTTGTGTTACAATATCTATTCCTTCCTTTTCAAGCATATTAATTTCATTTACCAAACCATGTAAAAATTGATCATTTCCAAATAACTTAAGATCAACATGCTTTATTAATGCAGCTAAATATATATAAGATAATTTTGAACAATTATCTTCTAGGGGAAAGCTATAATAAAATGCAGAGACAGAATGAAAATTAGCATGTGAACCTAGAGCAGTGGTCGGCAACCTTTTTAGACTCCCGGGCCACATTCATAAATTAAAAAGAGTTCGCGTTCCAGACAAAAATTAAAATTTTATATTCCAAATTATTTACTAAGAAAAAAAATAACTGTTTAAAACTTTAAAATAATAGATTAATAGAACATAAAAATTACAGTTTTTAATAATATTATTATAATATAAAAGTATGGAAATTACAACTGCTTAATAGGCTTAATGATGCAGGAAGTTCAGCGAAAAAAAGTAAAGGCGATGCTTTGAATGAGTCTTTTAATATATCTTGTGGCTGCAAATCTATTATTTCCATTTGAAGCTCAACAGGTATATCTTCAACATCAATATTAAACGGATTGGCGAGTAGTTGAAAATATTGAGAATGTCGTTTGAAATCTTGAAATCGATTATTAAATTCTTGTTGAAGTATCGAAATAGCTTCAACAAATTTAACTCTTGATAATGAAAATTCTGACGATTCAAAAAGTTTTTTACAATTCGGAAAATGTGTTAATTCATTTTTTTCAATGTGAGTTTGTAATAGCTTCAGTTTCATTTCAAAAGATTTAATATGAAACCACATATCAGGAATAAGTTGATTTTTACCTTGTAGTTTTATGTTGATTTCATTTATATACTTCAATATGTCAACACAAAAAGCCAGTTCAGAAATCCAAGTTTGATTTTCAAGCATGGAAGCGTTCTTTCCTTTTTCTTTCAAAAAATTATATATTTCCTGACGTAACATGAAAAACCTTTCAAGTACACGACCTCTGCTTAACCATCTAACTGCGGTGTAGTACAATACATCGCCATATTCTCCATTAATTTCAATCAAAAAACTTTGAAATTGTCTATGATTCAGTCCATTGCTTCGTATAAAATTGATGATAGATACTACTTCTTTCATTATTGAATCCCACGACATAATTTTGGCACAAAGTGCATGCTGATGAATAATTCAATGAAAAAATAGCGGTGGTGACAATTCTTTTAATTTCATTTCATTAATAATAATAGCTTGCAATCCAATATTTTTGCCTGTCATATTTCTTGCTCCGTCAGTGGTTACGCTAACCAACTTATGTAACTGAAGATCGTAACGTGTATTTTGAACGTGTAAAAAAATCTTCACCTCGCGTCATCCCCTTCAAAGTACTTACGGCGGCAATTTCTTCAGTTATTTCAAACTTATCATTAATTTATCGAATAAATACAATTAACTGTGCAGAGTCAACGACATCTGTACTTTCATCAAGTGCTAACGAAAAATATTGAAATGTTTTCGTTTTTTTTATCAGTTGATTTAATAAATTGTCACCAACATCTTCAATACGTCTTGTTATTGTACGAGCAGATAAGGGGACTTCTTCAAACTTATGTACAATATCTGGACAAATATTACCGGCCATGCTTAGTACACATTTTTTGACAAATTCTGCGTCTGTAAATGGTTTTCCCTCTTTAGCTACATTCACACTAGCAGAAATTATGGCTTTATTTTGAGTAGTTATTTTTGAAAAGATCGTTTGTTCTCCGGTTAGAGCTTTTTGTAGTTTATTAACTTCAATTTCTCTTAACTGTCCGTATAAGGAGTCATATTTAACTTTATGCTTGGATTCATAATGCCGTTTAATATTGTATTCTCTCAATACAGAAATTAATTCACAACAAACAAGGCACATGACTTTTCCTTTATTTCCAATAACAAAGTATTGATTGATCCATTTATGTTGAAATACACGACATTCAGAATCTATTTTTCTTTTTTTACTGACATTCATTTTAACTAGTTTAAAATTTAAATTAACAGCCAAATAAACGATTACTAATATAAGACATAAAATATAAATTAAAATGTTATAAAAATTACGCACGACGCAAACCACGCATACCCGTATGAAAAACGCAATGTTACTGAGCACAATCGAAAATTAAGATTATAAGTTATAACCCAAATACACTCGTCGTATCTACTCTATCTTTTCGGTAACTGTCAAAGTGTCAAGGTATATCCACTATTATAAAATATGACTGATAGAAACGTTCAACTATATTTATACAATATGATTTTTTTTGATATGATATTCAATTAAATTTCGTTGTTATAGAATTTAAAGCGGGTCGTATTTAATAGACTCGCGGGCCGGATGCGGCCCGCGGGCCGCCGGTTGCCGACCACTGACCTAGAGGATTATTGATTTAAAATTCATCTGTGTATAAAAAAAAAGGAATACATATTTTGTTATGTTGAAAACCTTTTTTTTTCCAGAGATTTCCTTGGACAAAATTTTCCATTGATGTACTTTCATTATTTTGATAGAAATTTAATTTAGTATACTGTTTTTTAAAATTATCGCCTTGTTCAAAATATTTTTTAAATTGAAACTTTAAAGGTAAAAGAGCTCCTGTAGTGTTTTTTTCATCATATACACTTTCACCGATATGTTGAACAGGACAAATTTCTTTGTTTATAGTAAATTGATAAATATTACTTATAAAATTATTTTTTTTGAGCCAATCTATTAAACGATATTCAGAATTACAATGCTGAAAAGTATTTTCTATAACTGAAGTTACTCTATGGAATTTACCACGTGTAATAGGTTCTTTAATTTCGTCGTCAATTACTGCTTTTAACATAGATACAACTGGAGCAATGATTGTGTCTAGTATTCCAGTTTGAATTGATATAATATCCACTCTAGTAAAATTGTTACTATTGTGTAAACTAACTATAAACTCAGTAGCAGACTTATATATAGCTTCACTAAATAGATCAAGATTAAATGGAATTTTACTAACAGGGGTTTCAGTTAAAAGGTTATGGCTATCAACACTTTCTGTACTTTGAAGTAATAGTGGAGAGTCATTAGAACACGATTGTTCTGGTTCTGGTTCTAATAGAGGTGTTACATACTTTTTATGAAGGTGTCTTTTAAATGTAGCTAAGTTAAGAAAAGACTGTGTACAAGTTTCTTCACATGTATAATTGCTATCAAATTTTAACAAATGGAAAATTTTTAAATGATACACTAATGTAATCCAACTATTAGTTTTAAATTTACATACATAACAAATCATTTTTAAATATTACAGTAATTGACAATAATGACAATAATGACAATAATCCAAACTTACAAACAAATTGTTGACTTAAAGGAAACTTATTCCACAAAACTGCTTCAGGATAGTAACAGGATAGCTGCTCTCCTGGAAGGTAGATAGGTAGGTACTGATCACTGCGATGATATGAAATACTGAACTTGAACTGTCATAAGAATATAAGTTTTTTGTTTATAATACCTTTAAATATAAAATTAATCTGTGTTAATCAAAATAATCAAGTCTTATATCAGAACATTATAATTTATTACAAATAGTGGTGCATACTATAACTAAAACATTATTAAGATACTAACTCTTGGTAAAACATATACCTATAAAGGTCTTTAGTAAAGTCTAGTTGCACCACTGACAATAAAAGTAAAACAAAAATGTATAGACTTACCAGTAAGTATATAATATAAGTTTATAATTAATAAGTCGAGTATCTTCAGTGGCGATCTTCAGAGATCTTCAGTCGTGGCGCCGAACACGTACTTAAGGTGGTGCATTTGCACCACCTTCAATTGGTGGGTGGGCACTGGCCACTGGGTGTCTGGGTCCATATAGTTTTGAAAAACTAACACTAAGTAGCCAGTAAGTACCTACTTAATACGAACTTGTTAATACTTTAATAATTGATGGCCAAGTAATTGTAGAAAGTAGAAACAAAGTGTAATAAATATTACTAATAATGCATACTAATGTTTACAAATTAAAACTATTAATATTCGGCGCTGATCAAGGTAGTACACCGTACACCACACATGCGCACTAGATGATACAATACTCTGTATATTACGGTACATAATATATATAATATATCACTGTAGCACAGACCCCACCACCCACCCGCATCCCGCCTGGATTTTCAGTCTATTAGTATATAAGGTCTATGGTTATTATTAACTATACGAACATAATATGTCGTATTGAGTTATTGACTATAATTGTCGATTGTTGAATTTCGTACGTTTCTTGTTAACTCGCTACTCGCTTTTTACAAAAACAATATTCCACTTGTCTTGAGCAAAGCAGAAGAAATAAAACCTGAATTTCTTCAAAATCGAGTGAACATTCAACGCATTTCATATTCTGTTTTTTGAAATGTCAAATAATGATTCGACTGTATGCCTTTGCGGGAAAAAAAGATTAAAATTAAATTTTACGAATTGGAAAAGACACCAAGAGTCTTGTAGTATTTCAAAACTAAAAAAAAAATAATATTGTAAATGACTTGTCAAACTTTTATTCAAAAAAACGTGGAAGTGATATATCGGAAGAAATTCAAGGTTCGCCAAAAAGAGGTAAGTACTTTTTTTTTTTAAGCGATTTGCTTAATTTTGTTAAAAATATAATATATTTAATAAATTGGGTACCTATGCAAATTAGATGACTTTTTATTTATTTGTTATAATTTGTATAGATACCAATTAAATATTTGTACCAGTCTTAGGTACCTACTAAACGTATTATTTAATTAGATATAGTAATATCAGTTTACAGCTATCAGTTGATGCAAACGGTCGTCGATCGTCTGTGTTGTTCTCTTATCTATATTTCGTACTAGTGATTTATTAATTAATTATAATTATGTTGGTGTGCTCCGTTTGTAATGAAGATGTACCTATTCGATAATGAAGATATCAAATGCAGTAAATGTAAAATGTTTTTTCATTTTGCATGCGCCGGTTTTAGAGAAGTTAATTTCAGGAAAATGAGTGCTTCAAACAAAATGAAATGGTTTTGTGTAAATTGTAAAGATTTTAATTCTGAATCAGGTGCTGTAGTAAATCAAGTAAAAAACTGTTCACATTCTGATAAAATATTATCGGATCTGAAAGATTCGGTTAACTTCTTGAGTGAGAAATTTGACGATTTTAAATCGCAATTGAGTGATATTATCAAGTCGATTAATGATGTTAGATTAGAAAATAAACAGCTAAAAGAACAAAATCAAAAGTTAATAAATGAAATGAGTGTGGTCAATAAAAAAATTAATTTTGTGGAACAAAAAATATTTGAAAATCATATTGAAATAGTCGGTGTTCCAGAACAAGAAAATGAAGATTGTTGCAAAATAGTTGAAGAAATGTCATTGGCATTAGGAGAAGCTGTATCAGTTATATCTGCATATCGCTACCGGTCCAAAGTGCCAAATAAAATTGGAAAAATTGTTGCTGTCTTAAGCAGCTATAAAAATAAAAAATCGTTGATGGAGATGTCAAGAAAGAAAAAACTTAAAGCAAAAAATGTCAATGCAAACTGGAATGATGAAGGTATATACATAAACAACTATTTAACACAAGCAAATAATAATTTGTTTTACAAAACTAGATTGTTTGCAAAGGCTCATAATTATAAATATGTGTGGTTCAGAGATAGTAAATTATTCTTAAGAAAAGATGAAAATAATAAAGTCATTCTCATAGAAGACGAAAATAGTTTAAAAATATTATACAATAATTGATCTCTGTACCTTTAAATTGTATTCATTTTTTTTGTTAGATAATGCATGTTGTAGATACTGTTGAAAAAAACCTGTTATATAATACTAATTATTTCCTTACAATATCTGAATTTATGAAAAAATATAATATTTGTAATAATCTATCAATTACAATAATATGTGTTAATATTAGGAGCATAAATGCTAATTTAGATGAGTTACTACTATTTTTGCAAAATGATTCAGATTTCCATTTAGACGTAATTGTGTTAACGGAAACCTGGCACGATCCTAAAAATTGTATTTATTCTTTACCTGGGTATAAAACATTATACTCTACCACGAAAAGAAACCAG